ATAAGGACTATAGGATATTAGGGTCGATGTTATTGTCCCCTTATTTTGGGAAACTACCACATGGGAGTTTCCGAAACCTGGGATCCCTTTTGGCAGAAGCCACATCCAAGCCTATTGGAAATCCAAACCAAGGCTTTTTGCGCAAGCATTTCTGATGCGTGCGCCGAGCCATGCTGTTTTCGCGAAAGAGCAGCTTCCTAAAAGAAGCAAGTAGAGTGGCATTTCTTAAGATTGTTGTTTTCCATAGAAATACAAGTTTCCATTTCATTTTCGGTTTTCTTTTTCAAATTTCCATTTGATTCTCCTTTATTGGGGTAGCATCCTTGATATTGGGAACCCTGAGCCCTACACCCTATATATCCCTGTATAAACCCCTTTTTAATCCCTATAATCCTTATAATCTCTATAATCCCCATAATCCCCATAATCCCCAGAATCCCCAGTATTAGGAAACCCCTTCCTTGGTTCTCTTGCGCTGCAGAACCGCGCTGGTCAGGTGTGGTGCAAAGACAAATGGCATCTTCAACTCCGAATCTCGGCACGGTGGGTATCAGTACATGCCAAGCCCAGGGCCTCTATGTAGTATATTATAGTATATTATGGAATATTATGGTTTACTATGGTAGATTATGGTACATAACAGTATGTTATAGCATATTATAGTATATCATGGTATGTAAAATGGCAGCATCCATGGCCAAGACCCCAAGTGGGATCACAGTGGCTGTGCACCGGACCACGTGGAAACTTTTCTGGTAGCCGTTTTACATCTTTTTTGGCAGTGCGAACACACATGCTGATCGCATGGCTGAAAGGTCATGCGAGACTTGCTGGGTTGGAGGTTTGAGACTCGAGTGATTTTGCAATTGTTGTGAACCCTTCGCGTCTCACGGATGGGTCCAGCTTGGGTCATGCCCTGTCATGAAACTTCAAGTGCTAGCCGATTTCGTTTGGCAAGGTTCGTGCAAAGAAGGGGGAGGTTTCCACGGTTTTGTTTCTTCCCTGGAGGAGTTGAACCGTGTGGCATCTACATAGCCTCCGGAAATCTTGTGCGGACTTCTGCTGCTTGCGCGATGGGATGCATGTACTTGGCTGCTGCTCATGCCACCTCCAAGGCTGACACGCTTCAGGAGAAGCTGAAGGCCCGGTGGTCTGCAATGCTCTATAGTATACTATAGTATACTATAATATACAATAATATACCATAATATACCATAATTTACCATAATATACTATAATATACTATAATATACTATAATATACTATAATATAATATAATATACTATAATATACCATAATATATCATAATATACTACTGTGGATAGTGCCTTTTATTGCTCAGAAGAAGCTGCAGGGGTCTAGCAGCAGACTTCATTTTCATCTAGTGTTCTTGTCGTATCAGGAAGGGGTTGGGCTGCGGGATCTCATCGGATGACTTTCAAGTTGCAATAGGGACGAGCGTCAGGTCGCAACAGGGACGAACGAGGTGGCAGTATTTAGGGGATGCATAGTTATTACCATTATTACTGCGCAGTCTTGTTTGCTATTGCTATTATTTGCTATTATCTACAAGTATTACTATTAGTCGTATTATACGAGCATGTGGTGGGCTTGGTTTGTATGTCATGGCATGGTGCAACCATTCTCAGCAGGGTTCGGCAATATGAGCTGTAGTCTAAACTCTCTTAAGGGGGATATACAGGGGAGTATTCTATATCCCCAATAATGGAGAATCACATGGAAAATGATATGGAAACTGGGATTATATAAAGGTTTGTAGGTATCTGGGTCTCCCAAAAATTTTCTGTATGGGCATGTAGGGTCACGCCCCCACTTTCTTGCCGAATTCGTTGGGCCGGGTTTGGGACCAGAGCCTGCAATCCAGTAACAGGGGCTATCGTCGTGGCCACTTAGCGTACCTTCATCCATCAGCCGATGCAGAAAGAATAATTCACTAGCCCAAGCGCTCAACAGGCGAAGAAGGAGCGCCGAGCTGAGCGAAAGCGAATGAAAGCCTCAAAGAGAAGAGAGGCAGCAGCTTCAATGTATGATCTTTGAGCTTTACGGCTTTATGTGGCTTGCGTGTGCGGTCAGGCTCAGAACACGTTCGGCGTGAACGTGGAAGGAGGTAACCTGGTCTGAGTCCCTCTACGCCCTCGCGAGCGCTATCTCCTTGCGGGACTCGAAGCTAGAATCCCGCCCAGGGCCCATGGCGTGAAGCAGTGACTGCAGCTAAACTGGCTTGGCAGTCCAGCCTCACCGGGCCTTTGCGATGCAAAGCTATGTATTAGGAGCACCTTGCATCACGTGTACAAAGCCCCCGAGACGCTCGCTTGCGCTGCCTCTCCACAAAAGCCTTATGGCCCTGGCTGCCCTGGCACCAGATAGCGACCTTGAACTTGCCCTAGAACCCCATCATTCAGCTTGGCAAGCCCATGTGCGGATAACAAACCTCCTGAGTAGTACTGATGCCTCTATTCCCAGCAAAGAATGGAGCTCTGTTTGATGAGTCTTCATGTGTCATAGCCAGAACAGGATTTCACTCGGTGCTGCTGACCACAATCCCAGACGGCATTCTTCAATCTAAAGCCCTCCAAGGCAAAGCAAACACGAGCAAAGACTTCTTAGCTCCTTGCACGCCCGTACTTTGCTTAAATGCTCTCTTTCCCAGGGAATTCTATGCCCCCTGACCCTCGTGTGCTGACCCTGCGCCCAACAATGATGTCCTCGTCAGGTTACAGCGCCTACGAATCTGCTGCACCAAGCTTCGCAAGCCCTTCAAGGCCTCCTGCGGAACCCGATACGGAGCAACGTGGGGATATTTGTTTTGTAGAGGGATTGCTACATTTCGCGAAGCAAGAAATGACGATCTTGGGGTTGCAGGAGGATGGGGAACAAAAGGGGGTCCAAGGTTGAGGGGTCTGCTCAAGCCAGGGGCTAGCTATGAAAATTGGCTGGCCCTTCAAGCTGGAAGGGGGGCAACGGATTTGTTTGCATAAGGGTTTCAGAAAGCGGTCCCAGAATTTCCCACTCCCGGCGCACTGGCATGCAGTTTTTGCTGATGAGGATGATGTTGAGAACAAAACCAAGCGAGCCCGAGCCTCAGAATTCAGTGGCCTCTCTAATTCCGTAGAGGTTTAGAAGGTTCTTACAGGAATTTCTTCGTACTGCTCAATTGACTCAACGTTATCCATTGCCTCGACACAGGTGAATTTCACAAATAGGCCGTAGCAGCGGGTCTCATGTAGCAAGCGGGCACAGTCACAAACCCATATAGAAGCCTGACTACTGCCAGCTTGCCTTGCAAACGCTAGCTGCATAGTAGCAATGATGATACTACTAATGATACAGGAATTCGTCGTAAAGTATCAATGACTGAATAGGTCAGGGCATTTTGTTGTGGAGCCGAGGTCATGTTTGGCCTTGACTTCTTTCACGCGGTCATTCTTGCGTGCCGACAGTTTGGAAGGAGCCGTCCAAAGCTATGCGTAGCACAAACGCAAACATACCGACATTGTACCCGCAAAAGTGAAAACCACGCAACTTCTACATGTTGACCTTGCTGGAGGCTGTCCACTCCGAGGCAGGCTTTGTTCAAGCCACATCACTGACCAAAAAGGATCCTGCATCCTATCCGAGCAGCCTCGTTCCAGGTCGAGGCTCAATGTCAGCCTGCTTCATGTGTCGCTCTGACGGTCAGAGACTGGCTGAAGCCTGGCTCCGTGATCATCGATGTGGTCCGTAGCAAAATTTTATACCGCCCACGTCGAGCCTGGCTTCAGCCAGTCTTCGACTTGGAGCGGCACGTGAAGCACGCTGACATTGCGCCTAAGTTGCCCTCCTGTCCTGCAGCTACATCTGCCAGCTTATGTGGCGCATCCATCATTTTAACATCATTCGTAGACATCACCGATAACAGGGCTGCACCTTGTAAAGCGCCTGCATGGTGCCAACGCTGTGGTTCAGCAAGTTCAGCAGAGTGATGTCACCTAGCCGGCCTTGACCACATTAATTTCACGGCATAAGATGCACTCAGCAGGCATGCGGTACTAAGGTTTGAAGTGTGGGCTCCAGGACATGCCAGGATGGGGATTGTCAAAATGTGGCCCCCTTTGGAAGTTCCAACAATAATGTGGAGCACCGTGATGCGCAGTTGTTGGTCACGAGGGAATTTCGGCATGTTTGTCACGAGTCCGCTTATAACAAAGAATTTGTACCAGGTCCCCGATGATTCGCAAATACACAAAGAGCCACAGGCGCTCCATGCCGCCCATACCGAAAACTGAATGTTTCAACCGTGAAGGTATTCTAGGCCGCGAATTTGGGATGGTTCTGACGCAATTAGGAGTTGGGGATCTGAAACAGATTGTTACAATCCACTGCGCGTGGCTGTGTTGTTCTGTGCTCGTCTAGAAAACTACGCAGGCATCTTCCCAGTTGTTGAAGTCAGGGCGCGGAAAATGCGCCCTTGAAACATCTCGGAATATTCGGTGCAGGGCGCACAAATGTTCCGTCTGTGGGAGGACTGGACTCTCTCCATGATTCCTGCCTAGATTTTTCCGGCCCTCAAGAAATTCTACTGTACTGCCTGCTCATGTTATGTGGGATTTCTCGTGTGCCGGAGTAGTAGCCCATGAGTGTTGTGCGAGGAAAAAAGTGAGTCCACCGTGGCAGCCGCATTGTATTTGTGCTAGCTGAGCTGTTGGGACTCAAGAAAAGCTGTTGTTCACACTGCATGTATTTGTCGATAGGCAGTTGTTTTGCATGCTTGCTTGCAAGAAGTGCAGGTTCACTATGTCAATGACGCTGATCGGGGTGTGGTGTGGGAAGAGGTGATCATCTTACTACCACAAGAGGTGGGACGGTAGCTTGCAGCGTTCTCTTCAGTTTCTGCCATGGCGCTTCGCATCAAGTTGCTACCTGTTACCTTCGCAAAGACAACCTGCGCGCAACAAGTCTTTGTGAAGCACTCACCACGGTTACCTGCACCTGTTCCTAGTCTCAGTAGTATCCTGCAAGCCAGGTATCGATTGTGATGCTCTCGGTCCGGGGCCCTGAGAACCGAGCATGAAGTAGCGGAAGTCACAGTATTGATGCTGCTGAATAGCTGCCATTGCTCGGGCTTGAAAACTCAACATGGCCTGAGACAGCCACAGACTTGCAATAGACACAATACATCATGCTGCCAGGATAAGCAGCCTCCATCATTCAGGGATACTAGCAGCAATCCCCTGTTGGATAACATGGCTTTGTTTCCTTGCTTCTGTCAGGCCACGGTCCCGAACTACCGGGACTTTGCTGGCTGGGTTGGCAGGACGAAGAGGAGTCCTGTGTGCGCCTACCAAATCCACCGTCTACAAAGCCTGAACAAAGACCCCTACAACGACCTCCAAAGTAGCCCCCATGTGGTACGTCAGTCTTCTTGTGATAGATCCAATGTGAGTGATCACTTCCCCAGATCATTCAGTCCTCCCTCATCCTGCTCAACGAAGGTTTCGTGTTGCAGTGCGAACATTGTTCCGACACATTGATCTTTTTTGCTCGGTGGAGCTTTTGTTCCCTAAGGGGGAAGGATTGGTAGTTGCAAAGTAGTCTGCAGCCAGGCTGCGCTTCGGGATTTGGGATCTGTGGACAGTTCCCACGCAAGAGTCTTTGATTTTTTTGACAGGTGCGGCAAGATCCTGTTCTGGCCTACATACTACGTACAGCAATTAGTCTTGTTTCTCTGAACCAGTCAGAACGTCCTTAAGCCCTCACAAGAACGGCAAGGGTTCAGTTAGACCCGCTGCACCAGGGCTTCGAAGTCAAGAAATGTTGTGCCACGTTGATGTCCGACGCTGATCCAGGTACACTGTACATACAACTTATCGACCTACACCGCTGCGTTTGGCACTTGGGAAGCGCAAGTACTAAACCACGTTTACAGAGCTTACAGTGGTGGAGTGTACGGTGGCCGCAGTTGCAGTGGTAGTGGTGATGGTTGTGGTGATGGTGGTTGTGGTGGTGGTGGTGGTGGCAGCAGCAGCTTTGGAAGTCGTTTGGGTGATGATTCATCAGTGATGATGGATGTAATTGTGCTATGGATGACAAACATGGTGAAGCCGATACCTTGAAAACACTGGACTCACAGCAATACTCGAGTTCAGAGATGGGAGTTTCTCGAATCTCCTGCTGTAGAAAGCTTAGTCCTAATCTACAACGCCCCTCTACAATCCCCATATACTCCTGGGGTAGTGAGCCTAAGAATGTCTGACCTCCCCACGTCACTTTGAACATGTCCCGGCCCCAACGACCATCGCAGAAATGCTTCTAAGCACAGACTAATACAAAGACTGACGCTAGTAATACTATTTGTGCATATGCATGTGTGTGTGTGTGCGCGTGTCCATGTGCGTGGAACAGCTGTGCGCGAAACAAAGCAAGTTCTTGGAGCTTGATCTGCTTATCTACTCGCTCTTTTTTGAGCGTGATAACGATCGTTAGCTTGGTGCGCGGTCCAAGGACACTTTCTCAGCTTTCGGGGTCACGTCATCCCTCTCATGGATGATGAAGGGTCAAGGCCTCAGGAAGTGGCCCTGCTTTCGACGATGCAGGCATGGGACTAGCAGCACGGTACTTGCGTCACATGAAAATTGTCAGGCTCAAGTGGATGCTTGTTCTAAATTGCTTCGGAGATGACGACGGCCAAGACTTTAGGCGAATCATCATGTGCTTCAGTAGTGGGATATCCTGAATCATGCCTGATACCGCCTTCTGTGCATGAGTCCTGGAGCCAGAAAAGAAGTGGCAACAAATGGCTGAGACAGTCGCTTATATTGGGGTTACATTGGGGTTGCATTGGGGTTACATTGCGGTTTATTTCGGGATATATATTGGGGTTATATTGGGGCTTGAGACTGTTGTCTGACAGCCCGCCTGGCATGGCTACTGAAGATGATGGCAGCTCCTCCGAGCAGGCCCTGTGACCCATTCAGTAGTTTCCCAAATAAGGGACCCCGATATAGACCCCAAAATAGTATAATCCTTATTATTGGGGGCCCCCCAAAAAGGTACCCCTAATTTTGGGAACTACCCATTTCCTGGGCCTATGATGGCTTTGTGCAATGGAACTCTCGGTTCCCCAAACCCCTCAACCCTAAACAACCCTAGAGGATCCTACCCCAATACTTATCCTATTCTCATGCAGTATGCCACTACTCTCTATATAGCCCCAGTATGTTCCCTTATTCCCTAGTAACCTCAGGGAACAACCCCAAGCAGCCCCAAACCCAAACAAATGGCCTTGGGAGGCAGCTCCGAAGGCGGCAACCCCTGAACCGGCTGAGCCAAAGGAGTCTAAACCCTAAACCCCTAAATCCCTAAATCCCTAAATCCCTAAAACCCTAAATTCCTAAAACCCGAAATCCCTAAACCCCTAAACCCCTAAATCCCTAAATCCCTAAAACCCGAAATCCCTAAACCCCTAAACCCCTAAACCCCTAAACCTTAAACCCTAAACCTTAAACCCTAAGCCTCGGCCGGCTGAGCCGAAGGAGCCGAAGGAGCCGAAGCCCAAGGCGCGGCCGTTGAAGCGCCCTGAGCCGAAGCCGGTGCCCAAAGGCCAAGGCCAGGGATGTAGGGGTGTAGGGGTTTAGGGTTGTAGGGTTTCAGGGGTTTAGGGTTTAGGGGTTTAGGGCTTTAGGGTTTTAGGGCTTTAGGGTTTTAGGGTTTTAGGGGTTCAGGGTTCTAGGGTTTCAGGGGTTTAGGGTTTAGGGTTTTAGGGTTTTAGGGTTTTAGGGTTTTTGGGGTTTAGGGGTTTAGGGGTTTAGGGTTTTAGGGGTTTAGGGTTTAGGGTTTAGGGGATACTTATGC